TGGAATCTCATGTCTTATGGTTCATTAAATAATATGTAAATTTAATCGTTACAGACTCCTGCTGATTATTATTATTTATGTTTTTGTTACAGTTTATGTAAATGAGTATATCTCAGAAACTAATTTATGGAAGCACTTCAAATGGTTAGGGTTGTTTGAAAGGACTGTGTGAAACAGTTTTTTCATTGACCATTTTGAGGGATAAAGGTGTGGCCTTTCTGTATAATGAAAAATATGTCTTAAAACTAAAAACTATTTTCAATTTCTGTATACAGTAGATAATTGCATTTTTAAGTCAAATATTATGTTGCTATGAGATTTTACATTTATATAATTGAAATTTAGAATGTAAGGGTTGTATTGATGTATAGAAAGTTGAAATACTCCAAAAAATGGCACCACAGCATGTAAAAATGTAAATATAAGTTCTTTAGAACTTGTTCTATGGCAGGTCTTAAAGGGTTAAATGGTTTCTCTGTCTTGTTTAAATACAGAAATAAATTGACTTTTGCACCAGATTCAAAATGTTTCCGTTTCACTTGTTTGTATAATTGGGTGTTTTTAGTAGCATTTTTAGTCCTCATAATGTAGTAAAAACATATGTATAAATAAAAATCTTCAAAAATGACAGCAGAACAGCACAAACATGATCTAGGACTTAAATTTACTAACTTTCAACACCAGAGCAGGCGTGACATATTCTGAGAATGATCAGGAACACTAACTGGTTCCAGTTGGATGACTGGAGGATGATGGGAAGATATAAGATCAGGATGAGGATTTAATGATCGGCTGCCAGAGCAGTGAACAGGTGAGCAGACCTTCCTTACATGGGAAGTCCCGCTGTCACGTCAAGAAGGGGACTGCTGCAGACCTGCAGATTCATGCCTGCAGCAGCGAATCTGGTGTGATCTCCAGCCGGAACACAACTTTCTCGTTACTCACTGCCCCTTTAGCTCCTGATCAGCTGATGACCACTTCAACACACCTCGTTGCTGAGTTATAGTAACGCACGCGATGTTTAGACAGTCACTCGTCTCAGAAACATATAATAAACTGACAGAAAGTAAAGTTTCTGGTGCCACCCGGCAGCATGTGCCATTTGTTTCTCAAATGTCCGCATCACAGAAACCGCAGTTTTCAGGAAGTTTGTTTTTACAAGTTAAAAAAAGAGGATGATGTGTTTTCCCAAACACTGCAGCAGTCCAAGCAAGGCAATTCCTTTAAAGTATTCCATTTTAGTAGCCGTTAGCACATTGTTGTGTGCGTCAGTGATATTCAGTCTACCAGGAAATCAATGACAAAGGTTCCGCCTTCCAAGTGCACGCATCATTGCCTTCTAATTAATCAATCGTCCTAAACGTGTAAACCCCCCCCCCCCCCCCCCATCATGCTTTTCATCTAATCTTTTCTAAATTTCCTAAGAATGTTTTTATTCTCTTTATGAAAATTGGTAACTGACCCGCATTTGTATCGAGCCTGTGGGAGTCAGAGGACTTTCCATACCACACACACATTCACACACTGATGGTGATGAGCTACATTGTAGCCACAGCTGTACTGGGACACACTGACAGAGGTGAGGCCTTCATAGACAGGAACAACAGCAGAATTCCTTGGATCGATCCTGGATTCTCCGATGACTGGACAACCCACTCCCCCACCTGATCTAGCGTGCCCCCTCAGAAACACTGATCATAGCTAATAGCTCCAGAAGGTCCATCACAAAAGAAGAAAAATGTAGGTTTGTGCCATTGAAATAGAGGATATTTTTATTTCATTGATGGTTTTGTAGAATCAGCCTGATAAAGATTTAGTTTTAGGTCAGACTGGTTAATGTATTCCCACTTGGAACACGTGCAGGTGGTGCTTCCTGTTTCTGAAGAAAGGTACATTTTCTAAAGGAAAAAGAGACAAACCTGAAAAGCAGTGAGCCATTTGTGCTGCAGCTGTTCACGTGCTTTCACAGCAGCGAGTCATTGCACCATTGAGGAGGTAGAGTACCGTTTAGGAATCGTGTTTTAGAGTATTTCTGGGTTTAAAAGCACAGCAGTTCCCTTGAAACAAGCTCGTCAGTTCTGTTTCCTTTTCCAGCTCTAAAGACCTGTTAAATCCTCAAATGCAAAATGCAAATAAAGAGTTTATTAATTCTATGTTTAGTCTGGGATTGTATCCACTAATAACATGGCCAACTGGAATTGCAAGAACTAGCGCGACACTGATCGACAATATTTTTACAAATATTCTTGAAAATGATGTGTTAAGTGGTCCTACAATTACTGATATATCTGGTCATTTACCGGTTTTTACACTCGTACAAAGGACAACTGTAATCACTCAAAGTCAATCTGTTGCTGTTACAAGGCTAAAAAGTCAAGAAGCAGTCAACTCATTTAAAACTGACTTAATGGAACAAAATTGGGATGAGGTTTATTTGGAAGATGTAAATATGGCTTATGAACATTTTTTAAATATTGTTACTACTCTTTATGAAAAAAATGCCCATTGCTTTATAAGGTAAATAAGAATAAATATGCTGAAAAGCCGTGGATAACTAAGGGGATTCAGAAGGCTTGCAGGAAAAAAAAACTGTATAAAGACTTTTTAAAGAAAAGAATGGAGGAAGCAGAACAGAAATATAAGATATATAAGAATTAATTAATAAGTATTATGAGTTCTAGTAAAATAAATTATTATAGTAAATTATTGGAAGGAAATAAATCTAATATTAAAAACATGTGGCGTATATTAAATGATACAATAAAAAGGGTAGTGGCACTAATAGTTTTCCAAATAATTTTCTAACAAAAGATAATCAAAAAATTAATCAGTCTGAAGAAATAGCAAATTAATTAAATAAGTATTTTTACTGAAATTGGGCCAAATTTGGCAAAGGATATAGCAAATACTAATTTAGATGCTGATGTCATAAGTAAAATAACAAAATTAGATAAAACCATATTTATTCAAGGCACAAATGAAAATGAAGTTATAACAGTTGTTAATAAATTTAAAAGTAAAAAGTCAGCAGATTTACATGTATTTGATATGTCTGTTGTAAAATAAATGATTGAGATTATAGCCAACCCACTTACACATATTTGTAATCAGTCTCTCCAAACAGGAGGATTTCCTGAAAGGAGGAAGGTTGCAAAAGTCATTCCTATCTATAAGGCTGGAGACAAACATGACTTTTCTAATTATAGACCAATTTCTATTTTATCTCAATTCTCCAAAATACTAGAAACAATATTTCATAAAAGATTGTGTGACTTTATTGTGCATCATGCTATTCTTTGTGAATAGCAATATTGTTTTAGACGGGATCAGACAACTTCTCTGGCAATTGTTGATCTAGTGGAGAAAATATCTGATGCAATTGACAACAAACAATATGCTGTAGGGGCTTTTGATACAGTCAATCATGACTTATTACTCAAAAAATGTGTAGATATTGCATCAGGGGTGTGGCCTATTACTGGATTAAGAGTTATTTAGAGAACAGACTCCAACACGTCCACATTAACAACACTGATTCACAGCTACTGACGGTGACCACCGGTATCCCACAGGGGTCAGTGTTAGGTCCTTTGTTATTTATTCTTTATATTAATGACATATGTTTAGTTTCAAAATCACTACATTTCATATTATTTGCAGATGATACAAATGTTCTAAGTTTTGGGAAACATTTAATAACAATGGGCAAGGTTGGGAAAGAATAAAATGCATTAAAGTGTTGGTTTAACTTAAATAAATAACTTTAAACTTAAATAAAACTAAATTTATTATATTTACTAATAGAGCAATTACAGTGAATACACATTGAAAAATAAATAACAGAAATTGAAAGAGTGAGTGAAATAAAATTTCTTGGCATAACCATAGAAAAAGTTAAGTGGGAAACCGCATATTGACTCAGTTAAAGCAAAGTTTTCTAAATCATTAGCAGTTCTTGAGAAAGTTAAAGAATTTTTAGATGAAATAGCTTTATATCTTTTGTACTGTTCCTTAATTCTGCCTTATTTCATGTATTGTGTTGAAGTGTGGGGAAACACCAACAAAACCTTAGAGGTGCACAATTTATGTAAAGTGATGAATAATTTGATGCCAAAACAAACTCGGGACCTGTTCCAGATCAGAGAGAGTGTTTATGATCTCAGAGGGTATAAAATGTTTAGAAAGCCTAAAGTAAGAACTAAAATGAAACAACTTTGTATTTCTTGTGTTGGGGTTGATGTGTGGAATAAATTAGACCAGGAGCAAAAAGATTGTTCAAAATTGTTCAAGTTTAAGGGTATGTTTAAACCAAATGTGATGAATTATTATGAATCAAGTCAATGAAAAAATATGCATAAAATATTAAAGGTTATTTTTTTATAAAGCAAGAACGGGGGTATTAATATAGTCTCATAAATTTCAACAATGGTGTATAAATTATGGTATTGTATGCTATTCTAAAATTTTGTTTAAATTTCAAATGGTTAGGGGGGTTAGGGTTATAAGCTTATGCTTCTGCCTGTACCCATTTTTGAATTGTATAAGTTGTGTGTTTACTTGTAAACCTTCAAATGTTTTTTTTTATTATATTAAAGATTAAAGATAGTCAGAACAATCTGTGATTATGTAGATTTTTCTATTTTAATTGATTAATAAATGTATTTTCATTTGAAGTGGTGACTTATCTTTTATCCTCTGTAATTTTCACCAGGCTTAATTATTATAGATAAATAAATGTAGTTTCTCCTGATGCTATCGATTTTAATTCAAAGGAAATAGTCATGTCATAATCAGGTGATCCCGATCGTCCCTCTGTAGACGGAGAACCGAAGAAAATGCATCAAATAAAAATGTGAGCGTCATTATTAAAGTGAGTCCCGTTTCCGTGGCAGTCCAGTGGTTCAGCAGCCTGAATATTACATCCTGCAGACCCGGAGCCACTAGTTGAGTCGGGCGGTGTCTTTGTCTCACGTTCTGCTCCTCCTCTGTTTCCTCCACAGTGAAGAAGATGACAGAACTCAAATCTCGAGGTGTGAAGATGTTGCCAAGCAAGGATAACCACCACAAGTTGTCAGTGTGTGAGTTACACACCTTCATTATTCCTGCCCCACTGTTTCAATGTGAGAAGGTATAAAGCCCACTCTGCCTGCAGTAGAAGAACTCCAGGTCTGCATTAATCTATAGGTAACCATGGCAACAGTGTGCATGCAGAAACTGGATACTTAAATTAATAATAGTAATGTAAGGACTTTTATATTAGCTGCACACGAATCATTGGGTACCCGAACCCTGGGTTCCACTCATGACTTCTGCTTGGTAGACCCAACCCTTAGTCTGACCTGAACTGATTAGCTAACTGGGTTAGTTTGCAGTGCATCACTGGAGATCCAGCGCTCTTTCATCTGCAGCGCTCTAGGGAACAGGGGCCGACATGATCAGCCTCTCTGCTGAGGCAGGAAGAGCACTGGACTGGATGAGTCATACAGGCAGGTCATTTCAAACAGAACATCTCCAGGTTGCTCTTGCAGATTCAACACAGCTATTATCAGCTGTGATAATTAGTTGTTGCACTGATTGGGACTGTATGAACAGTAATGCTCCCCGTCTGCTGTAGAGTCTGTGTGAGAGAGCAGAGAGCTGGAAAATGACATCTGTGACCACTCGTCACCACAGAAGCAGCCTCAGGAGTTGGTCAGCTTTGTCTGTCCAAGAAACTAATAAGAGCAAAAACTTTTCTCTCCTGGAGTAATGAAGTGTCCTTTCCCCTCAAAGCTTGTTATTTGCTCGATGTTTGACCTCCTGTTCAAAGTTTCTTCTGTTTAACTCTATGGCAGGAGGAAAGGGTAACTGTTGGAAATCCAACAGTCTGAGCTAACAAACACACCTCTCTGACAGCTGACTGACAGCTGTAATTGCTTTTGTTAGTTTTCAGCACAATCTTTTACTTCTCTTTCATGTCTGTTCCTCCAGAAAATCACCAAACCACAAAAGGATTTTTATTTTTCAATCATTTTAATAAAACCTTCTCTTCCTGTCATAAAAAGCACAATTTCACCAAATACCTAACAGACACGATCCATGCAACAGGGGAGATCCTAAAAACCAACAAAACAAAACAGTTGACCAACGATAACTGGCACCTGTGGAACCATGTGCCTCTGTGAACAAAGTGGTAAACCTGCTGTCCACAAACGGACCGCTCATTTCAGAGCAGAGCTGCAAATACAGCTGACCTGTAGACCTGACTCACCAATAACACACCTGTGCAGGTGTGTTAGGATGTGCTGATGGGCTCCTGAATGGATGAGCTTCATAGGGGACCTCTGATTGGTTTACCCAAGTCCAGCTAGAACATGATTCAGTGTCTCATTTTGAAATGGAGATCTAAGCAGAGAAAAAGGTGATTGGCTGTCGCTGCTGTTTCCAGTGACGACTGAAGCTAATCGCAGCAGGGCTTAATGTGTCCTAACAGGGTGTAGGACAGTTAGAGACGTGGTGAGATCTCCTCTCATCTGCAGCTGACCCCTGCTTTTCAAACCTCTCACACTGGGCCCAATGAGCAAGTGTCCCATCCACATGATCCACTGACCTTTGACCTCTGATAGACCAAGGGTGTTTCTCAATGTCAAGGCACCTGGCCTCACAAGGCGATGTCTTACTAGGCCAGGCGCCTTGCTTACGAGGACACTGTCCTTCCTTGGTCAAACAAAATGGTTGAATGGAACAGACTTGCATCCCTTGACATGGTAGATAACGTTATATTTTATATGTTTAAGTTTTAATATAAATATGTAACAAGCCTTTTACTTTATACTTGTATATATATTTGTTAAATTAAATATATGAGTTACTACCCGCTAGCCACCAAAGCTGCCACTAACCAACCATATATAACTTCTTTGGATCCAAAAATAAACATGTCAGATATCAGCCCAATGGCTACAATTAGCTGATTTACTTTTAAACTTGAAATTTTCCCCCGAAGTAGCTGCCGGCTTCTGATCCACCATCCTTTTGAAAATACCGTGGTGTGTTCTGGGTAGTTTTTGACCAGGGCCAGGTTACGAGACACCTCCCGTGTATCCTTGCCCAGCTAGCTAAACGGCTAACAAACGGAGAACACACGCCTCGGTAGAACATGAACATTGGAACACGACTTGGTGGTTCCTGATGACGTATCTCCTTGGCAACCGGCGCAGGGCCAAGACATCAAGGCGAATTTCCTTGGCATTGAGAAACATCCTAAGTTTATCTGACCCCTTCTAACACTTCCTCTCCACTCTTTGTTCCCCAGTGACTTGATTTGACATTCAGTTAAATTCAGTTCAATTCACATTATTTATCCGTTAGGAAATTCATTTGCAGTCGGAGCGTCAGCACAACACATAAAAACAGCATCAAAGCATAAAAACACATGAAAACATCATCAAAACACTCATAAACATACACTCAATTTAAAAGACTGCTTACATCTACATACGCTTGATTAAATGAATTTAAAAAGGAATACGATAATAAAAGATTGCTAGTTCAATCTAGATTCACCATAGTGTTGGTCACAGTCATTTTTGGTGGGGCATGCTATTTAACAGGCGGACTGAAGATGGCATGGCGCCGGAGCTCTGATATTAACAATCATTAACCCAGTTAGGAGTTATTGTCTGCAGTTGGATCAATGATGCAAAGCGGATGTCAGCATTTTCTCAGGAAACTCTAACAAATGTGTTTTATCATGATTGGAGTTGAGAAATAAAATCTACCTTTTATAATTGAAGATGAAACTGTGGAAATGAGCTCAAACTCCTTTACTTCGTCTTTGGAATCGATCATGAGGATTTTAAAATATTTGGCTTTGGACCGAACATAACCTGTTTGAGTGCTTTTAAAACAAAGGTCATTAGATCTGAAATGTTTCCTCTCACTAGTGTCTCAAATGGGCGTCGCACAAGGACACAACATGTGTCCGGATCCGGGGGTTCCAGATCGAGGAAAAAGAAAAGGATCCGACTTCAGGTAAAGAAAAGGAGTTGATTAGACGATAATAATGATATTATTATTATTATAACTTGTGTTATTATTACTATTATTACTATTATTATTACTATTATTATTATTATTATTATTATTATTACTATTTTTAGTAGTATTATTATTATTACTATTATCATTATTACTATTATTGCTATTATTATTATTATTATTACTATTTTTAGTAGTATTATTATTATTACTATTATCATTATTACTAGTATTGCTATTATTATTATTATTATTACTACTACTATTATTACTCTTAATATTGTATTTGACTGGGTGTTGTTAATCGGTTCCAGCACATGCACCATCAGCCGACTACCCGACCAAACACAGAAATGGGTCTCCTGCATTTTAACCAGTGCTCAGTAACAGGTTGATATTACCATGGGAATTATGGGATGTTGTTTCCTGTCAAAGCTATAGTCTGTATCAGCGGTCAGCTGTAATACAGACAAATGGGTGTCATCTTTATCCAGCCATTTGGCACTCGTCGAAATCACAGCACAGGCACAGAGACTAGTGTGTGTGTGTGTGTGTGTGTGTGTGTGTGTGTGTGTGTGTGTGTCCTCCGAGTAAACAGATTTCCTTGTTTCTCCTTCATCTCACCTTGCTTTTTGTTTTTTCTCTACCTGCAGGCGAGGGGCGACGGTGCATTTCTCCTGCGATGAGGGCTATGAGCTGCAGGGTTCAAAGAGCATCACCTGCCTCAGAGTGACAGACAGCTATGTAGGCTGGAGTGATGAGCGGCCCATCTGCAGAGGTAAACGTTGATGTGTCCATTTGACCTATTTACGTTTCTGCAGCTCATGCTTGCTTGTGAGGCTGCCGTCAGTCTGTGCGGCGTGCAATCTGCTTCCTTCTTTTCTCCGCGTTCAGTGGTGTTTTGGTGAGTGGCCTGACTGACCTTTAGCTTCTGTTGCTTCGACGTGCTGGTGTAGTGCTGCCCATCACCCCTGTCTTCCCCACTCATGACCACTTTGTAGTCAACAAGACAGGCAAACTGATGCTCCCACACCTTTACTGGTGCTGCTGGTTTTCTTTTTCCAGAACAAGCACCTGTAATGAAAGCATATTGAAGTGAAACAAGCCTGAAGATGACAGCACTGCTAAAGTATCAGCATTTATCATTTTCCTGCACTGGTCTTGGACAGAGGAAAAGCTTTGGACTTAGAGTGGAGCTTCATTTCCTACTAAACAAGACCCACTCTGCTCAAACATGTCACATGACAACAGTGATATCCATTACACGTCAGTGGGAATATGGGCGGAGCTTAAGGACCAAAGCAAGGGGAAGGAAGCTAGTGCGTTTCTAAAGCCTGATCTGGAGCAGAACTACGGATAAAGAGGAATCAAATGAAAAAACGAACCCAGCTCTGACCCTTTCTGAAGGAGAGGTGCAACGAGGCTCTGGGAGAAGAACAGCTGATGAACGGAGATCCATAAAGTTCTGTCTATACCTTCTGAGCTCAAATAAAAGTGAAACATGGTCCTAAAAGAAAAACGACACAGATAAGGTTCAAATAAGTGGTTGTTTCCTGAAGGATAGACAAACCCTCACAGGTGTTCTTCAGAAGTCTGCAGAATGTTCAGAAGTGTCTCAGACTGACTGGTGATTGACCAGGTGTCATGAACAGAAAGGAGGTAAATCCACTCCTCATGTCTGAGGGTTGCTTGTAGAGAAACTCACAACTATTCTCCTGGATCCTCAGGCATGCCCAGGTCAGGGAGAATATCCAGATGTTGGCAGGTTCTGGTGTTTGCTGTCAGAACTAGCCGCGCTGGGTTCTTCAGATGCAGACGAGCCGTTATTCCTGAAGGTTCCTGTTCATGCTGATGAACTTTTGCTTTCTACCTGATGTCACCAACAGTCTGTTATTAACCATCACCCTCACTGTATGTTAGTTATTTCATTGGCTTAAATCCATCAGCTTTCCTTTACATTTTAATAAGAGAGAATCCAAAGAGCCCTGTTAGACCTAATTCATTTATTCATGCTCTATGTAACCCTCTGCCTGCTAACTCCTCATTTACTCCCGTCAATAAGGATATTTGTTAACGACTCGTTCCTTGTTGGTTAAACTGGATTGGACCGGCGGACTCGCCTCTGGATCTGAGTAAACAAAGTCAGACCGGTCTGCCATCCTGGATAAAATCCAGTTTGTCATAACAAGGCCTGCCAATTATCACCTAAACATCCTCGGAATAGCAGTGAAGCTGTCATAAATGCGATTTCATGGCTTCCAACACACTTGAATCCAATTAATGAGTAATAACGAATCTTCTGCAGGGTTGGACCGTTCAGTCCAGTCCTTCCATGCCTGAATAACGAAGCTCTGAGCCTCGTGAGCAGAAAGCTTATACACGTCTGATCTTTCTATCATCCTGCAGCCTTGGATGTTTGGTTGTTCTTGAAAAACATAGCAGCGGAACATTTTTCTTGTATTAGGAATAAAAAAGCGAAGCTTTTTAGTTCAGCTTAATGATTCTAATTTTAGAGAGCTTCAGAGCCCTGACCGAACCTCTGTGTGCGTACCTACGCGAGGCTCATACTGGCCTCCCATGCTGATTCCTTCAGACCTCCACAGATACTGTAGAGCACAACATGACAGAAGCAATACAACTTAAGCTTTACCAAAAACACCAGAGAGAACTGGGGAAAAGAAGGAAAGCTGACTTTAGAGGTTGACTCTGACAGGCATCTGCAGCATGACTGCTTACTTTAGCAGCTGATCCAGGACATCTCTGTGTGTTTTTATCGTAGCACCCATGTGTGGAGGTCAGTTAAAAGGACCCAGTGGCGTCATCACGTCTCCCAACTACCCCGTTCAGTACGACAACAACGCCAACTGCACCTGGGTCATCACAACCACCGACACATCCAAGGTAAGACTCCACGAACGCGAGAGCCGATCGGCATGCCGCGGATCAGCGTGGTGCGTGTGGAAGATAAAGGACGAGGAAACACTGGATATGAGCCACCGACCCACAGAGCAAGGTGTCAGACAAACCTGCAGCACCAGAGGAAGAGGGTGAATGGGACAGGAGAATGATGAGCAGGATTTGAGAGTGTGGTTAGAGGATAGCAAAAGCATCTTCACTGACTTTGGTTCGTGTTCAAGGCCATCCAGCTGCTCCGGGCGGGGCCAGATCTCGCTCTCAAACCCACGTCTGACAAAGCCTTTAAGAGGAGTGTGGAAAGTTAGGAAGGAAGGCGAGTCAGGAACAGCACACTCCTACAAAACCCCAGCCACTGTTTTCAAGTATGAAACACACTAGGGGGTGCGCCCAGCAGGCGGCAGCTGGTATTTTAGGCTGAGCCTTGCTGCTTCAGATGGAGATGCTTTCTGTTTACAGCCTCTATTCCTGTCTGGATGGGCTCAGCGAGGGGAGACGGTAGCCGAGGCACAGCCGAGGACATCACAAGGCTCATCCAGACCTAAATCCAATCTCATGACATCATGATTAATGGGGGGTTCAGTCTGGTGTCTCGTCATAATGTCCCGGGAAACTAAAAGAGGCCATTTTGTTGCTTCAGTGTCAGGGACACTGCAGTCTCTGCTCTGCAAAATCCAAGATGCCAAATTAGCTGTTGGAGATAGCAAACATTGGGAAGTGCACGGCGCCGAGGGGATGAAAGTTTTAGGTTTTAGGCTGAGAAGCACCAGGGAGCCATCTCATTGGCTCCCTAAAGAGCTGTTTGTCATCTGGTTGCTAAAGATCTTCGGTTCCATGTATTCAGAATCATTCAAAGTCTCACCAGCGTCAGAAATGGTCTGAGTTCCTCCGGCAAAAGTTTTCCAACATTCCAGCTTTATTTAAAACAGCATGCAGACATCCCGGTGCTGAACGGCGCTGCGGCTGACTCTATTCTGCTGTTTCTTATCAGACAGCTGGGAGATGAGTTGCTGGTATGAAACTCTGTTTATCGAGTGATCTGACCTACTTTGGCCACACATCATCCATCTTTTCTCTCCACCTTGGCAATTTTCATTAGGCGTGAGCTTTGACATAGGACAGAATGCAATTTGCATTTATACAAGCTTTTTCATTAGGCCTGGCTCTGCCAGCCTTCTGAAAACATTAAGAGTTTGTCAGAAATCAGCGGCGAGCGTTTAAGAGACACAGGATGTCTTAGTTCATCACACCCGAGTGTGTTTTGGGTGTTTTCCTGCAAAATTTCATCGGAGTTGATTTTGACTGTTTGCGTTATTTGGATTTTGACCTTGTTTTGTCTTTATCCCACCTGCAGCTTTCGATTGAAGCCAAATGAATTGCTCAGTTTTGTTCCTCTTCGTTACAGCACAATGTATAACTCTTCTGAAAACCTTCCAGGACTCGTTGGGACATGCATTCGCCTTGAGAACAGCCTGAAATCCCCGCTTTACGTCTGGTGAAATGGACTTCATGTTGCTTTGATGAGCGCAGTGTTGGGTTGTTCAGAGCATCTGCCAAGCGATCAGATCTTTGAGTAGAGCAAGATTTTATTATAGGCAGACTGGGAGTCAAACGCAGTAAAGGCCGCCTAAAGATTGTTGAACATCCATCATGGCAGATGGGAACATCTCAGTAACACTGAGGAATGGTGGTCTCTGCTCTGCTCCTGATTTCTGGAAGGCTCCTGCCTCCGTCGGTGATGGTTGTCTGGGTGATGTCTTGGCTGTTGTCTAGGTAATCAAGCTGACATTTGAGGATTTTGACCTGGAGAGAGGCTATGACACCCTGACGGTGGGAGACGGCGAGCTGGTGGGGGATCAGAAGACCATCTTTCACGTGTGAGTGCCTTCTTTTCAACCTCCATATCCGGGCTTTGTTCTGTAACCTCTCTGGATTACCAGTCATTTTCATTTTGCCACTGCTGTTGTGTGAAATCCCATTCTGCCTTTGCTCCTCACCTTTTGCCTGTGTGGGAGCGTTTGCTGTGGCTCTTCCTCCCTGCAGAGCCCTCTCTCTTCCTTTGCCCCCAGCCTTTATTTCTCACTGGCGCCGTTTCTCTTTGATTTCATCACCGCCTGATGCAGGCGTGCATGAAAAATAGATGTTGCACCACATTGTCACTCATGTCTCTTTTCAGTAATAAAAGCAATATCACAGCCGCGTTGCCCAGCGTTGCAAACTGTACATTGATGTCCTTAGACGGAGTTTGAGCTACCAGATGCTTCATAACAATTCACAGGATGTAGTTATTAATTGTGCTGAAATTTACCACCTTAATAAAGTTTTTATGGATCGGCTTTTATTTGATGCTGCCTTGCTGGGGTGGGAAAGGGGTTGGAGGTAAATGAAGCGGGGGTTTTGGAAGGTTTATTAACGTCAAACATCTTCTGTGTGCACGGACTTTTAACACAAACACGAAACAATACTTCAGCGATTCGGTTTGATTGTCCTCTACACAATATCGTCATCACGACTCCTGTAGCAGCAATGCCGTGTTCCCTAAAGCCAAAGGTGTGTAACTGCTGCAGTCATAGCCGTGGTGCTAACAGGCGCCGAGTCACAATCAATAAAAGTGTTTCGTTGTTAAGTAGCTGCTGATGTTTGCAGCAGCAGGGGAAATGAGTGTTTTCATGAGCAGCCCTTACATCCACCTGCAGGACTGGGAGAAGCCTGGGTGATGGAGCTTTGACTGGACAGGTGATGAAGAGCAGCTGTTACTGTTACATGTTAGTCACCATCAGAGAGCACGTTACGTATGGCTGCAAAAGTAAACACATAAAAATACAGCTTTAAAGGTTGGGAGTCGTACGTAAACCCCTTGGAAACATTCTGGCACCAGTATGAAATGTGTCATGTTCCTCTCATGTGTCCACAGAAGGGTTAGGGTTAGGACGACCAGGCAAGCCTCATGGACTCATCGTACCATCACTAATATTACAAACCTAATCGCTTCCTTATTAATGTTGCAATAGGAACAATGTGGCGTTTCCCACTTCCTGTCCCCAGCTGGTTTACATTAAAGGTGTTAACCCTCTCAGGCTCAAGATAAGTTTTGATAAAAGGACGAACAACTAAGTCCTTCAGGGGTTCTTCTGAGTTAAAAGATGCTCATGAAATACATATGTGGAGTAACCAGGTAGATAGGTTTTAACGTTGCAAATCTGCAATATCTGCCTCCAGAGGGTCAATATAAAGTTTCTTATGGGCATTAGTAGCTTAGAGTGGAACTGGATCAATCAATCAATCAATCAATCAATCAATCAATCAAACTTTATTGGTGTAGCACTTTTCATCAAAAGAAAATGCAGCTCAAATGCTTAACAGGTTAAAATGACCCCATATAACCCAGATTCCCATCCCTTCCCCACAAATATAAAAACAATGACAGTTACACCCCCATCCCACAATCCATTTGCTAGGCCCACACACCCACAGGCACACACACACACACACACACACACACACACACACACACACACACACACACACACACACACACACACACAAAACCTAAAAAACAGCATAAGTAAACAGTAGGCTGTGTTCGGATGGTTAGGCAATGAATGACTTTAGTTGTTTATGATGCAGTAAAAATAAAAATGTCTGCTAATGATCATCACTTCACTCAACAACAACCAGTGTGTGCAGACATGAACCTGACATCCGTGCTGAATCACCTGTGCTTCTGTCGCTCTGCAGCCTGTCTGGTACCTCCACGCCTGACCTCGTGGTCAGCACCAGTCACCAAATGTGGCTCAACTTCAAAACAGACGACACCAGCGGCTCCCTCGGCTTTAAGGTGTCTTATGAAGGTAAGCGTGGCTGTCCACTACATCCACTTTGGTAATCACATTTACCTTTCAGAGTCAGAGGACTCCAAAGCGCTTTACACTGCAGTGTATCATCCATCCAGTCACACACTGGTGGTGATGAGCTACGATGTAGCTACAGCTGCCCTGGGGTCACACTGACAGAGAGGAGGCTGCCAAGCACAGGCGCCACCGGCCCCTACGACCACCACCAGCAGATGAAGTGGATTAAGTATCTTGCCCAAAGACACAACCGATTACTGGACGACCCGCTCTACCTGTCGAGCTACTGCTGCCCCTACCATCCCAGAGCAGCTTAAACCAAGCTCCTGTATGCATGTAAATATGGATAAATGATCATGAGTTTCAGAAGTTGAAAAATCTGTTGCTGAACTAGATTATGACAACAAGACGTCTAGAGCCGATCGATGGTGGCTAATGCAACAAACTGACATTTCATTATTATGTGTTTAGATTAATTACCTGCATCATGTTTGATTCACCGGACATAAATGAGGTCAGAAACAGTTGTTAAACATTAATTAATATCTGATCCCTTTGTCCCACTGCCTGATTCTGTGTAATGACAGCTTGTTTTGAGGGTTTGGGTTAACGGAGAAATGGATGTTCTGTTTGAACTCATGTTTTATAGGTAAGTCCACGTTCCACCTCCTAATATCCCAGTGAGTCTTTCTCCTAGCCCACTCATTCTGGTTTTTCATCAGTAGAAATAACAGACAGTAGAGCAGCGACTGAAGCAACGTGTAATTAAAACAATGAGTTTGACTTAATGAAGGGGAAGAGACGCTCTGAAACACTTCACCTCCCAGATTGGAACTGCCTAAACCTCATTTGCATATTCAATTACTTGTATTTTAGGCCTGATCATCAAGTTTAGTTGCAAATACAGTAAAACCAGTTTTCACACACTTTTCTATGCACTTAAGTGTAAGTCTCCCTCTGTCTCTCTCTCTCTCTCTCTCACACACACACACACTCAGCAATGGCCTTTGCCTTTTTGAAAATGCAATGCTTGCAGCCAAGTATTAATGCAAGAGAGCAAGTTCACAGTAAACTCTGCTGCTGAGAATGTTGAATCATTGTAATTTATTTACTTAATTAATTTCAAGTATCGAAACAGAAACTTTTTCTAAAATAACGACACATCTTTGTGTCTTTTCTTTTCTGTGCTTCAATTTACAAAATATATCACCGCTGTGTTCTACAGGTCCATGTGTATCCATCAGACACACATGAATACTTTCAAAGGAGATTATGATTGATTTAAACCTTTTTCCTTAAATTCGGTTTAAACGTGTAACCCCAATAATGATGATGATGATGATGATGATGATGATGATGATGATGATGATGGTGATAATTGTGCTGATGATGATGATGATGATGGTGATAATGGTGATGGTGATGATGATGGTGATAATTGTGATTGTGATGATGATGGTGATGATGATGGTGATAATTGTGATTGTGATGATGATGGTGATGATGATGGTGATAATTGTGATGGTGATGATGATGGTGATAATTGTGATGATGATGATGATGATGGTGATGAGTTGCTCAGCTTTTATGACACACTCTGGTGAATAGAAAGACTTACTCTATGAACACACAGACTTCAAAGGAGTCCTTATGTATTTCCTCCGTACTCCTTGAAGTTCTAATTGTAAGAACCCAGGAGGCAGAGAGACCTTCACTTCTCACTACAGTGTGTTGTCCTCTCCTGTCAATTAGTATGTACCCATAGTATTACCTTATAGCTGAATTGTTCTGTAAGATGGGTTAGGATTAGACTTACCCTTACCACCACTTGTCTGTCAGATCTCTTAGGCTCAACTGCCCCCCCACCCCACCCCCCACCCACCTTCCCCATTTAAAGGTGACTCCCATGTAAAATGAGTTTTCTTTTATATGAGGCTGCCTTAGGACAGCTATACATTCAAGCAGCAGTGAGCTCTAAGTATGTGTTCTAAATGATGATCATCATTAAGGCTGGGTATGGATTTATACTGAGCATCACCCCTGGTGCGATTTAAAATCATATTAGGCCCTGCCATCATTTCCTGGATGGATGAGCCTATTGGCTGTGTATGTTCCAGATGCTTCAACAGGATGCCTCAGCATTTCCATCTGCAGTCCTCTACCATAGAAAAGCAGGAAGAAGAGCCAATAAAAGGAAATGCAGGCTGCATTCATCTTGTGATCATGAAATTGGCCTGTGTGGTTTAAAGGTAGAGGTCTGTTAGTAAAGGTGAGGATGTGCTTGAGCATCCTTCTGAAAGTGCTCATGTCAGCTTCCAACAGAAACAAGAACATTTGTCTTAAAGTGTGGAGCGGGATGTGTTTGCTGTCAGAGGAGGGTCACGATTAGAGAGATGACTCTGTGCTGCTCACATTAAAAGAGAAACTCGAACACATGATCAGCAAACCAGGAAGTTATTGTAGTTACCACTGTCATCTAAAAATAAAGCATAATTCACTAAGTATATGTGATATGTAAAATACGTCTCCTGGAAGAAGAATTGTCCCCACACTATATTGCCTCCATCCTCTGTGAGTTTGTGTACATGTTTTCCTGCCAACTATTAACCCAACTCAAGATGGCCACCACTGGGGAAGCTGCTGTGGAAAATTAGGACAAAACAAATTAGCTTATAACATTTTTCCATGCCTCTAAACAGCATTCTAACATAGCACAGCTATAAATATATTGTGGAGATTAAAAAAAACGAATAAAGTGGTTCTTATCTGCCAATAACACGTTTTGGACTATTGGACCATCCAGTTGTCGGTCTCACCGAACCACTGCACTTCCCTGGGTCCTCACACACTCATGTATTCAGCAGCAGAACGCCACTGGTGTGAGAGGTTCTCCACACTGTAACATCAGAGGAGGAGAAACAGCCGGCTGCTACCACTTCAACTTTAAGATAAACTATCAGAGTCCCAAAAAGAAAAACATGTTAGTCACAGACAACAAGAGACGTTTACCTAAGTGGTGACTGCTGTTTAGCCCTAATAAAGCTATTTTCAGCTTTTGACCAAAATGGCTAAATTCCCTTTAATAACATGATCTTAGCCATGGAAGGGAGCAGGTAATAGGTGGTCCTTGAGCGATGACTTTGTATTTTATAGTACTTAGGTTTCATTTGAGCCGGACTATTGCCCTAAATCTGTTTCTTTCTATCTACACAGAAATTGACCAGGGCAGTTGTGGTGATCCTGGAATCCCAGCTTATGGAAAACGGGAAGGGACTGGTTTTCGCCATGGGGACCGGCTCTACTTTGAGTGTCTGCCTGCCTTCGAGCTGGTCGGAAAGAAGAACATCACCTGTCAAAAGAACAACCAGTGGTCAGCTAAGAAACCCAGCTGTGTTTGTGAGTGTACCACACGTCAGAGCCGATGACCACAGATACTGAGCAGATGAGTGTAGGGACGGCTAGTATCCTCACAGTTTGTCTGACACAGACTGGATTCAGGAGCGTGGGGGGGGGTGGGGGGGGGGGGGGGGGGTGGATTAGCTAATTAACACAGTGAAAGACAAAGCCAGAGAATGAGCGAGTTTGATGATGTGGAGAACCAGAGCTGACCATGCAGATAACATTCACTGTTGGATTATTGATGAGACAGTGAGAAGGACCAAAGGCCGTGGTGAAACCTCAGCTGAATGACTGAGAACTTCCTGGCACCAAAGCGTATTTAGTTTCATCAAATACGTTCACTTTGTTGTGTTGATGGAATAAACGAGGCGTATTTTGTTGTTATAGTTTAGTTATTTGGGAATAACAGCTTTTCAGTTACGCCTAATAGACCAAGAATGAATGCATTTACCCATCTGTCCATTATTTAAGCCACTTACTTCTCACTAGGGCCGTTGGGCATCTGGTGTCTATCTAGACCCTAGACAGGTCACCTGCCCATCACACGGACACGTAGACAAGCAGCACACACTAGTCACGGTCTTGGTTCACACAACAAGATAAATGATAATGCAGAATTTTGATCCACTCCTCCCCTTGTGACAGTCTAAAGGATGCACTCGGTAATGGCTCTAAAAATAATCTTATCTGATATTCCTGCCATGTGTGGTGTGCACCGCCCCAATCATCCAGGCTTTCAAACACATTGGAATGTCTTGGTCTGATTTTCTAGAACAAACGAGTGTGCTTCTCTTAAGGTTGGTTTATTTTTGTCGCGTCCGTGAGGTCCGCACGGCGAAATTGCGTCATTTTAACTACCATTCCCCTCCACCGCGTCTCTGCATGGCCCAAAATTTCCGCAACGCGCACCTAGGAAAATTTCTAACCACGCGGATGGTCGGACGCGGAAAAACATGGCGGACTGGTAAGAACTAGTATGGCAGAGGTTCGTAAATACAGACATTTGTATGATTCAGCTCTCAGAGATCACCGTGATCAACATGTTAATAATTCTTGGAGAGAAATAGCTCGCACTGTCGGAAAAGACGAGGACGCTGTTAAAAAATGCTGGAATGTCATGCTGTAAACAGTAATTTTTACTTCTACTATGGTGTAGTGTTGGATGCATGCCGTAGAGCTCCATGCTGCCCCGTTCAGTTTGGGAGAATATTGGCTCACCGCAGAGACGAGCCGCATGAACCATAAACGCTGCGAGTTGTGAAGCGCGTTCCATCCGCGAGCCGCATCACCAAGCAGAAAGTGAATGCGTCAAGCATAAACCAAGCTTTAGAATGTGGTCCATCACCTCAGAAGCCCTGCTATGTGACCCGGGTCTAACCTAGCATGCATGCTTTTGCTTTGTGGGAGGAACCCAGAGAGAAGATGCTTTGTGAGAACATGCTAACCCAACATATAAAAAGGAGGTGCAGACAAGATTCAAGATGGTGAAGCAACAGTGCTGCAACGAGCTCCACTGAGCAGCACTTGAATGCATTCTTGTGTTCTTTAGGCATCCTAATAAGCTGTTTTCTTGTTTTCTTTGGTGTTACATCTTTAGAACATTTATTGTTTTACTGTCAGACAGAAACACACTCACAGAGGCCTGAGACTCCCCTTCATGTCTTCTCCATCCCCAGTGAGTCGTGGAGGATGGCTGCTTATTCTGAGCCAGGATCCTCTGGAGGTTTCTTCCTGTTAAAAGGGAGTTTTCCTCTCCACTGTCGCTGCATGCTTGCTTAGTATGATGATTGCTGTAAAGACTCTGACACTAGTCAGTGACTCCATGCAACCTGCTGGGTTCCTTATACAGGAAACGTTTTACTGATTGGCTTAATGAACTGGCCTGTACTGGAATGTTTACGTTGTGACGGCTCTTTTTGTGGTTTGGCGCTATGTAAAAAAACACGTTCATCAGGTGACTGAGTGCTGGACTGGGCGTTCCCAGACCACGTCTGTTTCTGTTCCATCATCATGAGACTTTACAGGAAACTGATTAGGAACCTCTTAGCTTAAGCTTGTGTTGGTGTTGTCATTCGTCTGGGTTGCTTCTGTCAGATAACATCTAATGTGTGCATCCAGGGGCTCTCTCTGGAAATTGCCTTCTCTTCCCAGGCCTGTCTTAAATACCTCGGCCGGCAAGTTGATGAAAGTGATATACTGTACAAATGTTTATTTTCGTTCCTGATTATTCTGTGTGAAAGTCCGTATGCTGGCCTTGTGCATGTGCTTCTGCTATAAGGCAGCTAAGTGGTAGTTATGCTGTCGGTCGTTGATATTGGATTTCCTGTCTGAACTCTTACGTGGGTCTGTGAGGCACATTTCTACAGATTCAATAAAAAGAATCAGATCATCCTGGATTGTAGTCAGCATTTTCTGTGTCCTAACCCATCTTGGTCATTTCTAACTGTCTGTGTGTTTCTATCGTGCCTCCAGTCTCCTGCTTCTTCAACTTCACCACTCCGTCCGGGGTGCTGCTCTCTCCCAACTACCCCCAGGAGTATGGGAACAACATGCACTGTGTGTGGCTCATCCTCACCAACCCTGAGAGCAGAATCAATCTGGCCTTCAATGACCTCAGCATGGAAAAACAATTTGACTTCCTGTCCATCAAGGATGGAGGAAAGGTTGTGAAAATTACACGCTGGTGTCCTCGACTGCCTTACATAGTTCCAAGTGTGATTTTCTTCACTGACTTATGTCTCTGTCACTGGAGTTGTTATTAGAAAAGCACTTTATGTAATTATGCATACAAGATGTACCTTTCTGCATATTTATCAGACTTCCGGGTCATTTTACCCGTCTGCTTTAGCCTGGCTCACATCACATCTGTAACTCTTTGGTTTTCAGGCCGAGTCACCCATCCTGGGCACATTCTCCGGAGACTCGCTGCCTCCTCCAATAACAACAAGTGGCCACGTGGCTCGACTGGAGTTCCTGACTGACCATACGTACACAGACAGGGGCTTTAACATCACCTTTACCAGTAAGTCTCCTATTACCAGCGTCTATAAATCTCAATAACTGTACTAACTCTTACAAAATGACACTCACCTACCTCCCTCGTCCTCACCCAGAGGTGTGCTATCCTTAGCGGGTGCGCTGTGATCTGTCCACCCTGACTCACCTGTGATCCGCGTGCTTGCTAGTAGCCCTGTTTCATGGCTAGAGAGCACTGGGGCATTGGGGCGACGGTGGCACAGGAGTTAAGTGCTTGCCCCGTAATCGGAAGGTTGCTGGTTCGAGTCCCGCTCAGTCTGTCGCTGTCGTTGTGTCCTTGGGCAAGACACTTAACCCACGTTGCCTGCTGGTGGTGGTCGGAGGGACCGGTGGCGCCAGTGCTCGGCAGCCTCGCCTCTGTCAGTGCGCCCCAGGGCAGCTGTGGCTACATTGTAGCTCATCCCCACCGGTGTCTGAATGTGTGTGTGAATGGGTGAATGACTGATTGTGTTGTAAAGCGCCTTGGGGGGTTCTAGGACTCTAGAAGGCGCTATATCAAATACAGACCATTTACCATTTACCACTGTGAGGGTTTGGCAGCAGGATTATCATATTTGTGTACTATTGAGCGGTGAGCTTTAGCGTAGCATCAGACCACACCCTGAACCTAACATCTCTGTGCAGAAAGCCCGGTTCTGACCACAGAAGGCTTTTATGGATATTAAAGCTCTTCTGGTGGAGCCAGAGTGCCGTGCACTTGGGCTGCAGCTTGAAGCAGATACTTATATTCTCCAAGTCCTCGACCTGTGCTTTGCCTAAAGCAACACTTCAGTCTCTCCTGGCATCTTTCCATGTGTGTAAGAGCACACGGTGGCTGATGCATTCATTAGCTCACAAGTGATATGAATACATGAATAGTTAACACACCATGGTGGGAAAAGTGTCCTAACAGAAGTTAATTGAAGACGACGGTCTGCTCCTGTGTACAGTGTCATCTCACCGTGAGACCGATCTGAGAGGCTACTGGGCCGGGCTCACAGCTTCCATCATGTTTGTAAATTAAGGACACGCCAGACAGGCCATTTCTGCCATGCTAATAAATAAGATTTAGGTGATGGATGAGGTGCAGCAGGCTCTCTGTTTGGGTCCGATGGCTAGGGAAGAGGGATTCATCAACACCTACATGTGTCTCCAAGTACATGTGGGTCTAAGTGAGAGAGATCGTGGTGCAGGTGATGCATTTGTGGACCCAGGGCGTGACTCTTCTCGCAGGACTGCTGCTGGCTTCTTGTTTTCCTTCAAGCTGAATTTAAATCCATCCTGATTGATAAAGTTTTAAAGATGACTGTTTGCTCCATGAACATCCCGGCGGTGTCACCTGAAACCGATGCTTTATGCTCTGGCTGCAGCACAGTGGATCAATGTGAGTAAGTAAAACTAACATCTGGCTGTGTGGAGCTGGCATTGCTGAACGCTTACAGTAGAGAGAAAGTAAAGTTTGTTTCATCGTTTCAGAACCAGAGCACTCCAGTAGTCGAGTTTAGTCGGACTAACGTCACACGCTGAGATATGAACTTAAACTTCCAGGTCTGGGCCCTCATTTATAAAAGCTGCTTAGGAACAAAACGACGTCTGGAAGTTGTGTGAGTCATCGTCGACACAAATGTAGTGATTTAGAGAAGAAACGAGAGTGTGACGGGAGTATGTGGCGGCTCTGGGGTATGGTGGAAATCATGTGAGCAGAGAGGGTGTGGTTCATCAAGCAGGATATTTAACGAGGTTCTTTTTTTGTTGGGACATGTGAGGTTGTGTTGTGCGTTTACCTCGACATGCGGTCGAGGTAAACGGCGACCGGTCGTTTACCGGCGACTGCGGCCTTCATCAGACGTGTCACAGATGTTGGTGTGACGCGTCTTTATCAGCTGTTCTTCTGGTGAGCGTGACCAAACCCACGGTCGCCGGTCGAAACACGTCACGGTAAACTCACAGCACAGCTTACCTGTCCCAATAAAAACAGAACTTCTTTAAATATTTGAGAAGAGGACAGAATGAACGTTGTAAAGGATCATCTAGGAAGAGTGCGGCTGTGAGCACGGAGCTGCAGCAGAGCTTCAGTAAGCCACATGGACAGTCATCTTGTGTTTCAGCTCATTTAACTTGATTTGTTGTGGGATTGCAGACGGCTGCTGTTGGGCTTTGCTCAGAAATCAACTGTGAAAATGAGTTCTCACATTTCACTTTGAGAGCGTGTCCTTATTGTGTCACTCCGCACCCCTCGGCCTGTCCTAGAGGTAAAGTGTCGCATCACGTGTTACAGGTTATTCACGTGAATAGGTGCAGTGTGTGGTAATGGTGGTTTTCAGCTCGACTTCTGAAACAGCCTGATCTGTTCAGGGTAAACGGGGATGCTGGGCCGATGTCCACCTGTCAGTGGCATCCCTTATTTGTTTGTGTGTGTTTTAAACAACATGTCAGCAGACAAATATCAGTTTTTAGGCCACAGACCAGCAGACTGACACCGGACCGACTCAGAAACCATCCCGTTAGCCCTAAAGATGAGCAGCAGGACCAGTTAGATGTCTTAACATCCACATCCTGTTTGATGTTGAATAGTCTGTGACTGATGGCAGAATTACAAATTATTTATTCATGTTTATTAAACAGTAAAATATGTAATTAGCTGTCTTTTCATGACTGGAACGTCCACAATCTAGGATTTCTCCTTTATCTCCTAAAGCGTTTCGCCACAACGAATGTCCAGATCCGGGGGTGCCAGTCAACGGGAAGCGTTTTGGTGAGAGCCTCCAGCTGGGCAGCTCCATCTCCTTCATTTGTGAGGACGGGTTTGTGAAGACGCATGGCTCTCAGACCATAGCCTGTATTCTCAAGGACGGCAACGTGGTGTGGGACAACGCTGTCCCTCGCTGTGAAGGTGGGTGAGAGAGGAGCGGCTTCTGTACGCTGATTGTCCCAATCTGACTCTGTTTAATGAATCGTGCAGCTGTAACAAAGTAATGATGGGCGTGTGAGATCAGATAGTGATGAAGCCTGACAGGATCCAGAGGCTTTGTCCTCTCATGCATCTGATGCAGCAGACGTGCCGTGTCCCTCCATGGCTAAACAATTAATAAACTCTTCCAGCAAACCAGAAAACGCCTGTAGAGCATGCTTTTCACACATCAGCAGCAAACCAGTGTAACTGCAGACAGGGCATCTACTCTAAAGGTGCTAATCAGGTTCTCCATCTCTAATTTGCAAACGCCAAACCTGCATTAAAACACGTCTCTCCCAGCAGCTTCCTGCTCCCAGAAGACCATCTATCACAGACCTACCTTATAGCAGAATGTGTTACAATGATGTCCTTCACTACGTTGGGTTGGCTGATTAAATCTGTCCAGACTCTGGACGGGAGCGCTCCACCACGTTTGCGTGTTCTGGTTGGATCCCGCAGGAGAGGCCTTCAGCCATCACAGGCTCTGTGTTTCTCCTCCTCCTGGTGGGGATGACAGCAGCACCTTCATATCAGAGCTTTGATACATTTAAGATGACAGCAGAGAGGGAATAACACACACACACACACACACACACACACACACACACACACACACACACACACACACACACACACACGCAGAGGTGTGGAGTGACAGATGTGTTGGTGGGAGAGAAGGTTAACCTTGAAGTGAGCTGTCACCGTTTTACATTAGATGCAACTTGGCAGGAAAGAAGGGGGAGGGGCTTCTGCTAATGCAAGAACTCATCAATAGCTGCTGTCATACATACATCAGCTGGGACGGACATGAATAATTCAGCTGCCATGTCTCTCTCTCTTTCCATGCTGG